AAATAAAATAATACACACACAATGCTCCTCTTATATGTAATAAAAGTTGTATAACTAATTTTTGTATATTAAGATAATTAATTAAATTAGTCATATCTAAAAATTATATGTATTGATTTTTATTTGAAGTATTATTTTAATCATTTGTATTGGATGCTGTTCTTTTGATATACTGAAAATCTCCCTAAAATGTACAGTTATAACAAAGAGAGTTAAAAAAAAATATATTTAAGAGATAAAGTATATTAATATTTTGTATTTGAGATCAAAATAAACCTCACAACTAGCTTTTACATTTTGTATATGACATCTATGAGTGTGTGATATTCAAGGCACATCTTTATTATATATAATCCATATGAACCATGTGATTAACTTTTTTTCTTATTAATACATCAAGCCATATAGAAAAACATAATCATATGATGCATATTAGCCGACAATAAATTCATGTAGTTGAGGAGTTGAGTAAGCAACGTTTGGAAGTCCATGTCTGTATCATGAGCATCGCATAGTACGGGCAAGTTAGTTAGTACAATCATATATAGTTGAACGAATAAGAGGGTAGTTCACTATTTTGTGAAATATACAAGAGCATATAATTATTCATCTCTAGACTATGTACTACTTCTGATTCTAAACATAAAATCTATTTTTTTTTGGGACTAAAATATGAGATTTATTTTATAATGCACTACAAAATCAATATTATATTTTATTTAGGATAGGAGGTGGTAGTATAGTTTCTTTTTTGACCAGCGGAGGAGGCAGTATAGTGAGTCTTGGACAATTTATATTAATAACAAGAACGTGGCTTGAAGACAGATTTATTACCGAGACACTTTACAAAAGTATTGGCAAGGACAGAGCCACTTGTGTTGGTGCTGATTTCTATATTCAACACATGCAAGTCAGAAATTGTCAGTTCCATATTGATCAGTCCGGATGCATGCGTCTGCATTTTCTTCTATATGGAGCCCACGGCATGAAAATCATGCAGAAAAAAATGCGGACAATCTTGTAGTTTTCTAAGTTAGAATCGTGTAATTGTTCTGTGCGAAAAAAGGGTGAAGATAATTCCGGATCCGTGAAGATTCTAAATACAATGAAAGGTTCAAAAATCAAAATTGATCACGGAAACTGTTGGCCATATGTTTATGTATATGGACCCCTGAGTCATTGTCGATCAGTGCAATGGTAGAAGTTTTTGCAGTGTTGAATTCTAAGTGACAGTGATATGGAATTTCCATTAATATGCTGGCCCTATACAGTTCGTATATGCATATGTGTGTGTGTGTGGCCATTCATTTTTTTTCGAGTCTTTCTGGTTGCAGAAAAAACAATAGAATAATTAATCTCAGAGGGTTGGACGGCGGGGCAATAATGAATGCACAGAATCGACAGTTTAAGGTGATCGATGAACAATATATTTTGTGGATTTCTAGCGATTTCTTTATAAGGGTGATTCATACACAGTAAATTGGAGGGGGAACGTGATTGAATCCAAGAGCTCTACTGTGAGTCCCGTCGCATGGATATTCATCAAGAACAAGATATCGATCTGTATAGCTCAGAGATTTTTGAATTGCAGGGGAACGTGATTAAATCCTTTTATAATCTAATAAAAATCTTACAAAAAATTTTAAAAAAAAATGAAGATGAGGCCTTTTTTAATAAATGATTATTAGTTGGATAGAAATAAAAGATCAAATGAGATAAATAAATCAAAATTCTATGAAAAAACTTAATCAAATGCAAAAAACTAAATTAAAGTAAATTAGTAGAAAGAAATGCATAGCTTTCAAAAGTAGGCATATTTTTTTGACTTTTTTCCCCCAGATAACTCCATAGTCCATGCTCGATAGGATACAGTCCCATTCCTTTATCCCCATTAAATGGAATCATTGGGACACGTACCCCTATGGAATGTTGGGGCATTCCTTCCCATCAAATCAAAGGCGAAAGCAAACATTTTTCCTTTCTTTTCTTTTTTAAAAAATTAAATACTTAAATTTACATAGTTAATACTTATATGTTCTTTAATATAAGATCTATTTAACTAATTTAATTAGATTAAAAAAATTAAATAAGTTAGTTAATTATAAGAAATATGACTTTTTTTTAAAATACTATAATCATCTTCCTTAATATCTTTCATTTTCTCCGACTTGATTATGATTGAGGGAATATCTATAGGGATAATTTAGAAAAAATTGATAAATATGATGAATAGGACTTATATTTAAGACCAAAATTAATTCAACAATTAGGTTTTATATTAAGTTTCAAATATAAAATTAAGCTAATAGCAATATTAATAACAAGGGCATGAAAAATTTCACTTACTCCTAATTCAATGAAAATAAAATAATTTAAATATAGATGAGCTTAGTAAAGATAGACAAAATCGCTTATATATATATATATATATATATCATAATAACATCTAAAATATTGATTTTTTCCAATGAAGTTAAACTTGGAAATTGGAATGATGAGGAGGAACTCAACGACCTTTTGTTCGACTCCACTCTACCCAACGGAGGCGCATTCATACATGTGGACCAGAAAAATTCTGCTTTGACTCCTTCAACAACCTAATTATGCCTTTTTAAGCCGCAAATATATAATTAGTTTGATGATTTCACCGAATCGCCTCTCTCTCTACTTACCTTAATAATCAAACAATTCCCTTTTGTATTACTTTTCTTAAACCAATTCCTTTCTCACTATTATACTCAGTGGTGGCCCACCACCTCTCCCTGCAGGCTCCAAGTCAACATCGTACAATTTTACAATATTCTGTACATATATTTTAATTGTTTCAGTAATAGTTCCACATTTTTATGCGCGAAATGGAGTATTGCAATGGGATTTGTCACGAGCTCATGTAATAATGTCACAGGAATTATATATGAAAGTGATCATTCGGATTTAAGAATATGATCTTATTGGAATAAATGCTGCATCTTGTAGCTTACACTTGTTTTAAAGACAACCCTAGAGACAAAGTAGCTCTAAAGCGTGAAACTGTGTCGGGGTTTGATTCTACATTACAACTTTAAATTAGTCTTCGCCGAAAGCCCTGTGGCCTTTGACATCTCAGTAAAGGCTTAATAAGTTTCCTCCTTAATTAAACTTTTCATTTAGGAATCTTACCTACTGCGACATACGGTTCTGTTACTTCTTTGTATGCTGTTTTTTTCTTGTCCATTGTATAAACAATTTATAACATGTATGTCAGGACACTTCTTTGTAGGTTTAATAACTCGCCGTGACACTGAAAGAGTACAGAAGCTAATTTTGCCCCCCACCTTCACTTCTTTATTCACGCTTAACTATAATGAACCAAAGCAGGGCATTAACTCTCTTTAAGTTATTTTTTAAATTTGCTGATATAACTTTGTTGATACTAGAATACTATCCTAATATAACCTTGGAGATAACTGTTTTTACTGTCAGATTGCTGATATAACTTTGTTGATACAAGAGGGGGTTTTTTATACCACCTCTTGTACTAAATATAAAAATTAACTGGAAATTATAAATATGAGTGAGATCTTAATCTATTTTATTTGTCAAATTTATAATTTTAAAAAATATATCTATTAATTGTAAGATATCTTCACCCAATTTAGTTTAATTGTACATGATTGAATAATGGTAATACAGGAAAGTCAACACATATTTGATACAATAATTACTTTAACTAATTTTTTTAATCTGTTTAAATTAGTTATCTAACTCTTATATTAAGAACTGAAAATAGTATTAGTTTCTTCTTCACCTGTACTGGGAATAATAATAATAATGATAACAAGAACAATAATAATTTCAGAATCCTTCATATATATACTTTCTTCTCTTGGGTTCCCTCTCCATAACCAAAATATCAGTACTTTGCCTTAAACTTCGTTTCTGTAGGCTCGAATTCTAAAGATTTCTCTCCTTGAAAGGCGCACATATGGATAACATCTCAGAAACGTCATCACAAGATGATCTCTCCTAAACCACTTGGTATATACAGCTGGAAGTTGGATACGCTTATTACTCATAATAATCCATATCCGCAAAACGTAACACACTAGTCTTCCAACAATTAATACTCAATCCTCATATACACAAAAAAAGAAAGCATTTTTCCTTGCTGACAGAAAAAATGGGAAATAGTAGAAAGTCAATAATAGCCTCTTATTAAATGCGTCACTCCATATCATACATTATATTGAAGACTAGTATTCCACAAAAAAAAGATCGTGGTCAGTTTTGCACCTAACATTAATATGTGAGGGAGCCAGAGAAGTAACCTTATCCAAATTCTCAACTTCGTTTGAATGCTTGCATTTCAGAATTTAAATGTGAATCTCTTCTCATATGAATTTGATCAAATAAAAAAAAATGGTAATACGACATTCCAAATTAGCTGAATCAGACTCGTTTGACCCTAGCTACTTTGTGTGTGAATGCTTTCAAGATTTTTACACCTCAAATTATTTTAAGAGACTTGACAATATGATATCACCAGTTATGCGAGAATATTAAGCAGTAGTCACACAAATTATGGAACAAATTATCAGTTTTTTTCACCACCTGGGAATATATTCCCTGGGCACTTTAGTGGTGCAGAAAGTGCAAAGCTAGCATTGGGAATCTGATTTTCCGTTGCATTACATTATTACCTGATTCCTTTCCTCCATCTATTCACAAAGCAGATTTTTCTGCTCATCTTCTTACCCCACCGCCCCCCCCCCTCACTTTATTTTTTTTAAAAAATAAGTAAATATGAACTCCAAGACAAGAGACACAGTTTTTGAGTGAAGGAGAAGAGTTATAGAATGTGATAACTTTTCTTCTTTCTTTTTTTCAAAAAAAATTGTAAAAATGTCGACTTCATAGAATGTCCAGCTGTGACAATAAGTAATCCTGTTCAGACCAATATTGGCCTCTTTCTGATCCTCTATAAATAGGCTTCTTCAAGTCTCTATTATCTGAACTCAGAATTTCTTCACATAAAAGCAAATATGGGAAAGCTCGCAGCCTTGTTCTTCACTACCATCTTCCTCTGCTATGTTATGTCACAAGCCTCTCGCCCTCAACCCGCTTTCCTCAAGGATTCCTCCCCAAAAACGCCACATCTGGTTCGTTCAATTTAATAATTTTCGCTTTTCTCAAATGCTCTGTTTCTGGTTTAATAGCTTTCGCTTCATGACTTCGATCCATACATCCTAATAAGGGTTTTGTTTATTTGTGAGCAGGGCGTTGAAAGTGAAGCAGAGCATGAATTGACGGTGGAAGAGAGGTGTGAAGGCATCGGAGAAGAAGAATGCTTGATCAGAAGAACACTTGCGGCTCACGTTGATTATATTTACACCCAGAAGCATAAACCTTGAAGCATCCTTATATAGCAACTATGCATAGTATATAAACTGCAAGAGTCCTCGTGAGATATTTTTGGTGAGATATTGTAAGAAAAGGAAGTGTTAATGATAAGATTATGTACCTAATTTACAGGGTGAGTAGTGATTCTCCATGATGAGCTTTTGTTGTTTGTAAGAGTTTGTCCAGTTTCATTGAGGTCACGACCCAACGTGCAAATATGTTAATCAATCTTTGCGATTGATCGTAGGCTTTTCGAGCGACTATATACGAAGCAAGTTGTTCATACGCTGTTCATCTTCTGGGCTGCTATGTTTCGAAATCTGTAACTCTAAGGAGAAAGAGTGTGTATGTGCGTGTAGCGTGTCTTTTGAAGGATCATAATTGTGGATTTAATGGTACTTTCTCTTGTTCACCATGATTCGCTTGGTGACAAGTAATGTAATGGTACAGTGAATTACTCTGTTTTCAATATTCAATGGTATGCACAAGCTGAGATTAATTTATACTAGTTTCAATTCTTAAGATAATAACTAGTTCGGGAGTTAAATTTGATCATAAATATAAAATATCAATTCATTCTCTACCCCATATTTATTATTGTCTTTTTAAACCATTTCTATTAATTGGACATGTTAAAGGAGTTTGTGTTATGAGGTAGTTTTAATATAAATGATTTAAAAGCACATTTTAAGAAACCAACACATATTTTTTTACGAATAATTAATTTAACTAATTTTTTAATCTACCTAAATTAGTTAAATAGATTAGGAGATAGTATTAGTTAACATTACGCATTAATTTTGAGAATACATCTCTTTCTTGTGTATAAAAACATAATTTTGGGAATATATAAGGGAAGATGGAGAAGCGCCCCCAACAAATAACGCAACACATATGCTTCTTGTGTTTTCCTTTGAAAAAATTGTAATTAGGTCCCACCTAAGAGACTTAAATACAAAAAAGTCTCTTAAAATTATAAAATTATTATAAAGTCTCAAGAGACTTTTTTGCAATAAATTTTATTTGTTTCAATACCAAATTGTCCTTATTATTTTTTTAAGTTTGTATTGATAACTGAAAGGGCAGTCATTAGCAACTTAAGGTGTAAGGATTGACAACTATCGCGACAGGTATTGACAATATATTTTTTTAGTACATCACAAAATGTAATACATGAGTTGTTAATACCTACCGTAATAGTTGTTAATTCTTATGTCTTAAGTTGTTAACGACTATTCTTTCAGTTATCAATATAAACTTTAAAAAAAGAAAAGTAATTTGATAATTAAACAAATAAAATTTATTACAATAAGTCTGTTGAGATTTTAAAATAATTTTATGATTTTAAAAATTTTTTATATTTAATTTTCTTAAGTAGGAACTAATTATAATTTTTTCTTTTCTTTTTCTAGTTGGAGAAGCTTGAAGGCCACAAAGCATTAGTATTCATCAATAATTGTACCTTATGAAGGAAAAGCGTGAGAGGACAACGGAGCCAATGACCTTTTCGCATTCTAAATGTATAATATAAGTATAAGAAGGAATAAAGGTAAAGGCGTAATTAATACAAGCAGGGAAACGCTAGGGTATTGGGAGCAGTCCCCACCCATGGACACCACCAAGCCACCAAAAGCGTAAGTGAGACGTCAACTTTACTCTCAATATTTTTTTTTATAATTTTTTTATATTAAAAAAGTTTCGATAAATTGGATTGCGCTTACTAGCATCAAGCTATTCCTCCAAACATCAAGAATACTTATATAGATGCACTTACTAATCACTCATCAACAAAACTCTCATTCTAACAACAGAATTTGAACCCATAACTTTTTTTTTTTAATGCTAAAATATAGGCATCCTTCTATTGGAGGTAATTCTATTTGATGTACTGTCGGACACTAAATGTGAGCACCTCTCTCAACGAGAATTCAAACCTTGGTTCGTCACGTTGTGAAGGATTAGTTCCTTTTGTTAGACTCAATCCCGTTGGTTGAACCCATAACTTTATATGTGATGAACCAATTCCTTACCACCTGACTCAACTTCTGTGGGCTTCTCTCAATAGTCAACCGCACTAACAATGCTCTCATCACTGCATGCGTGTAATACTCAGGAGTTTGGGTTAACCCGTATGACCCACTTACTCTAAGTGGGTTGGAATGAAGCGAAACAAAAACTGCAATGAAAATGAAATAATTGCATTTTGGGCTGCTTTACCTATGGGCTATATCCGCGGCCCTCGCTGCCCGCTTTCTTGCCGTTCACCTTCTCCCTTTTCTTATTTTTTGCCTTTTCACTTTTATCTAAACACTAAAGCTTTGTTTGGTTGGGGTTTTTTTTGAGGGGAGGGGAGGGGAGGGAGGATGTGTTTGGTAGGGAGGGGAGGAGGGGAGGGGAGTTAAAAAATTTGTCTTTTGTGCTCCTCTCCCAAACTGGGAGTTTTCGGAGGGGGAGAGAAATATTATAAGAATCTTAACAATATGTCTATGCTATTTTTGAATATTCCAGTGGTGCTCTCTTGATATTTTTTTGGTTCGCATGATTACCTCCGCATTCCCTTCTGCAGTTGCTCAGTTATACACACACACAAATATATATGCATATATGTTATATATTAATTAATATATTTAATATATATTATAATTATAAAATGACACTGTTAATATCATATATATTTTATTTCCTAATATGTGGGGGTATTATTATATAGTTAAGGTCTTGTCTTTTTTTCTCCCATTCGCTTTTCTAATATTATTACTTTTATTTCAAAATTTTTTTTATAAAAATATAAGTGAGGTAATTGGTTTTTTTGAAATTGATAAATTAGGAAATGATAATTTTGATATAAATATTGTAATAAAAAAAATAAATCAGTCTAAATATAGAGAAAATGGTATATTTGTCAATTTATAATCCCCTCCCATCCCCTCCCCTTGTGAACCAAACAAGAAATCTCCCCTTCCCTCCTCTCCCCTCCAACCAAACAAAACCCATGACTTCCCTTTCCCTCCCCTCTCCTTCCTTTAATTACCTCCTCTCCCCTTCTCTCCATTGAACCAAAAAGCTAAAACATGAAGAAAGAAAAATTGTATCAAAGAAATTTTTGTTAGTATTTAATTGCAAAATTACCTTTTTAATTTGTTGAGTCAACATTTTCTTTTAATGGAAGTAATGTTAGTAAAAATGAAGAACTGAAACTACACATTGTAAATTTAAGAGATTAAATTAAAATTTTATATAAAATTAAAAAGATAATTAATCTCTGGTTCCTTATAGTTTCATATGATTTTTAATTAGATTCTTATAAATTTTTTTCTTTTTTATCATATCTCTTTACATTCATGTGTTTTTAATTAGGTATCTCCATTTTATTTTCTTTTTATCAGGTCCTTATATTTTATTTATTTTTTAATTAGATCTTTTGTAGTTTAAAAAATTATTTATTGACTTTTTTCTTGAAAATTAATTTCATTTTTAAATTAATAATTATATAATTAGAGAAAATAATTAATATAATCATTTGGTAATTAAGAATTAATCAGAATAATAAATTACAATTAACTATAAATTATTTATAATTATATTCTAATTTTAGAAAATTTTATTATTATAATTTGAATTTTATAATCATAAAAATTAGAATTGAAGAATAAATAATATATATGTTTAACTAAAAATTTTAAAAAAATATTAACATAAGATTATTATAATAATTTATTTTATAGAATATTATTTATAAAATAAAAAATAAAAACTAGAAGAACTTAATTAAAAATAAGGTAAAATAATAAAGACCTGATAACAAGAAAAAAATTATAAAGACATGATTAAAAGCATGTGAAATCATAAGAACCTCATAAAAAAAAGTTATAAGAGCTTGATTAAAAATCTGTTGAAACTATAAGTATTTGCATATCAATTGTCACCAAATCTTTCACCATTTTAGTTACTTTATCATTTATGCTTTTTTTTAAATCTTTGGAAAAATTTTCAATTATGCAAAAGGGATTTATGTTGTATGGGTCATGGAGCTTTGACAGATTTAATTGATGTGGGCTTTTCACATCTGGCCCATCTTGGTCGGTGCCTTGCCTCCGTCTAGTTCTTTGCTTCTGTTCTGTCGACCTCGCTTCGCCTTTTGGTGGTGAGGGAAGGTAGATGATAGCTGAAAGCCTCGAGTCTCCAAGGTTGAGAACCAATACAAATCAAGCACGCCGTAAATTTTGATTATGTTCGGCAGAAGTAGATTTCTTTCTTTTCCGATGGTGATTGGAGCTGTCGTGTAAGACGTCTGTGCCTAATGTGCTCTCTTTTGATTTCTGGATTTTTAACCATCTTTTGCCCTCTCGTTGTATTAAATCACTAATATCAAGTCTATTGAATAAGTGCTAATTTCACATGCGGAAGTACAATTAGAGGTCATATCATTCATATTCGGTAAGCGCAAATGATGTCTTGGTTCTTGCTTTCATAACGTTGCTTGGTTGAACTTTCTGCATTTGATGATTTCTTGATTGATATTTGTATAGTCTTTGTGTTGATTCACCCAAATTGATTCTGATTGTTTGTGAAAGAACTTTACTTCTCGTCAATTGAGAAACTTGCTGACATTACAATATAATAAACGTATTTCGTTTGATTGAGTTCTATTTGTTGAAGATGATTATCTGCAATATTAGACGTGTATGCATTAGAATGATAACTTCGAAAATAACTACTTCCAAGAAGCGCTCTAGTGTGTTATTTAGTGTAACTTCAGCTAGGGTCTACTTTGTTGAAGCTTTGTGGTCAGTATGCTGCAAGCAATGCTCAACATAAAACTAGTGATACTGAAATAGGAAAACTAATTTTTACAACTTTAAAGCAGTCTGAGGTTTCAAACGAGGACTAGAGCTTTGCTGGAACAGAGGGATGAAGTGAATAATTTTGCTGACAAATTGCACCCAAGCTTTTAACATGGCTACTAGGTAATTTAATGGAAATCACCCAGTTTATGATGTACTAGAGGAAACTTGAAGCATTATTGATTGGAATTATCATGTCCAAATTAGATTCATGTATAGGGAAAAACAACTCTCATGCTGATATGTTGTCTAGGATATCTAGGAACACTGATTGTAATTTTTGTACCTTAAATCAAACAACATCTTGCTACAGGGAGGTGGTGAATGATGATGGGTTTGGAGAATTCCTATTTCGAGTCTTTATATTTTCATTTCTTGTGAATGATGTTTGCAATTACCATTCAAAAAGGGAGGCAAAATTCCAAATGAGAAAGCCTGAATTTAAGTTGAAAATTGTGGTTTTCCAGTTAGCTCCTGTCTGGTGCATCCTGTGCTGTACGGATATTTGGTTCTATTGATTCATTCTGTTTTAATTCCTTTGTTCTTGATATTACACTTCAAATCAGCCTAGCCTGCTTTAAGAATTTCAAATTTTTGAGGTGTTAATTTATATGCTTATATTCGAAGGTCTCATTGTTCTTTGGATGCTCGTGTGTGGTCTTTGCAGGATCGGTGTGGTTTCTGGTAAGGCAATATTTGGACCACCAATTGATGAGTATTGGAAAAAGAAGCTTCAGGAAGAAGCATCAGCAAAGGAGGAGGACTCAAGCTCCACTTAGCTCTCCATCGCATTAAGTCTTGCCATAATTGCTTTTTCATTGGACTGAAGTTGAAAAGTGGCAGACAACATTTTTATTTTGGGTTGTACTCCAAATAGTCAGTGCATCAGCTGTGCTATATGTGGTTGTTTTGGGACACAGCTTCAGTTTCTAGTCGCTAATTATCATGGAGGGACACCCCCCCCCCAAAAAAAAAAAAGAAACAAAATTCCCATTCTTTTCAAGCCTTTTTCTTTCTGCTAGTTTGAGTAACCTTTGTATTCCGCGTTTTAGACCTGAATAGTAAATCAAACTAGATACAGAATTTATATAAAATTCGTGATTATTAGCTATTACAATCAAGTTTTATTTGCGTTGATCTTTGCATTATTATTAAAGCTCATTTTCTTTCCTGAAGTGAAATGGCCATCCATGAAAGGAGGCTACCACTAAGCACCCAGAAGATTTCATGGATCACATATCAGCAGTCCACTTAGCTTCATCTTGACACTCGCTCTTAGTTGTTTATAAACGCAGTTCAAACCCCGACCCGAAGATGTACCGGCTTTATAAGTAGAAATGACTTTATGAAATACAACGTCTGATCCAAAATATCAGAGTTGGTTTACTACAAATTAGTTTTTATATGTAGGACCGGAGCTAGTATATATTATATGGAATGATATATTTACAGCAAGATTACTCTTTTAAGAATTTCTAGTCATTACAACTTCAAACAAGAAACACTTTTGAGTTATATATACAGAATAGTATATTTACAGCATGGTTACAATTCAAGAGTGTGTACTAGTCATTACACCATGAAACAATATGACTGTATAATTAATAGATGACGATTTTTCTCTAATGAAGTTATAGAAAACGCAGGAGACCGGCCCTTGAATGCCGAGGAAAGATTGTCGATACAATTGCACAGGACTCTTGACATCTATCTTCATTGTTAATTCTTTCAGTGACATGGAATTGACCATCATTCTTTGATATACAAAGAATCGCACTTGTTGCTGCATTTTCCCAGCATCATCTGAGTCCGAAATTCCATTCAAATCCACTTGATGAATGAAACATTTCTCATATATTACTTAAGCAGGAACCAAAGTCCAAGCGCCACCCATTAAGTGCAGGCACAAAGAGAGACATATTGTAATTATAACAGCGGATTTGGCTGCTACATATGTCACAATTTCTACTATTGTCTCATGCACAACATCTGCAAATCTTCTGATACAAGCGCAGAACTTCTCTAACACAAACTCCATGAAAGATCTAACCGTCTCAAATGACACCCTACCAGTCACATCAAGAATAAGCCTCCGATTGCTGGGAACAGCCAATGTAGAAGATACCTTGCCCATCCATCCACTCTCTTTTTCTTCATCTGAAACTTCTTTTAATTCAACAGATGTTGTTTCTTCATCTAAATTCTCATCTCTAGCTGGACTTGAACTTTCTTCAATAGGCAAATAATCAGTTGAACTTGAATTGGCATTTGGGTCCGAACTTGTTAGCACGTGGTGAGATGTTTTGACGAGTGTCTCTATGGCATTATTACAAACAGAAACCACCATGTCTCTCACTTTACTCTCATGCTTTGGATTAGTCAAGCCGGAGAAGAAATCATCATACGTGTTGATATGCATGGTCTTGTCAAGATAAACAGTAACTGCTGTACTTACAAATAGTTGGACGCAATTCCCAATTAGGTCCCTGCACTTTTCACTGCAAACCGCATCTACCCATCCTGGCAAAGGTTCAGATTCCAAATTGGAGGAGCTAAGATGTCTGACACTAATCGTATTGCTTAAACTTGAATCTGATTCTCCACTCGAATGCCCATTTGAATAGAAACCACGGACTAGGTTCCGAGCAAAGCTTCCAACAACTACAGAAACAAAGCCTGTCCCAGAGGGGGCAAACAGTTTATCCACTAACCGATCCACAAGACTTGAACTATGGCTGGTTTGATTATGATCGGTGTTATTCATAGAATGATAACTTCGCAAAACACCAAGAGTTAAGGCCTGTGTAACGTTGACCAAAGAATCTGAAAACTCACGTGACCGAGTGATTTTGGAAAGTTGCTTCAAGCTATTAGGCAATTGATCCGAATCAGACCACAGAAACTCTTTCATATCTCTCGAGACGACCCCTAGAGCTTCTGCCGATTCGGAGACTGCTTCGGAGATGGATATCAATGCTCCCAAAAGCTTTAAAAGTCTCTTCCTCTTGCGAGTAATTGAAGGCAAGTGATAAATTTTGAAAGCACCGTACCCAGTGAAGCCAAAAGCAGCAAGTAGAAAGAGCCACTTTTTTCTTTTACGGGCATAATCAAAACCCTTTTCGATGAATTGCAATTCCATGACCAGGAATTCCAACGAAACTCACAGATTGATAACTCCACCTTTTCCTCACATAAGTCGATAAATTCGTTCGTTCATTCATTCATTGAGATCACTTGCAAGAAATTGAAGCTTCAACGCTTTAATTGCTGAGCACCTCCTTCTTGCTGTGTTCCGATAAAACGGCGCGAAATCAGGCGGACAGTGAATGGGTTTAAGAATAGGTACAATGAACAAAGAACGTGAGGCTGGGCGGCGGAACAAGAGGGAGAGGAGAGAGAGGGAGAGATGAATGGAGAAGGGAAGGGGGTCAAGACTCCAAGGGCGTTGCAGAAGAAAACAGAGACGTCTCGTGTTTGCAAATTGGAATGGGAAGGGCAATTGTGAGCCTTCTATTCTTTGGCGGAGGCCATCACCCCAACCGTCACCGTCATCGTTCCACGCCACCACTCCAAATCTGTTTACCCCACCACACCCTGCTACTCCCCCTTTTTTTAAAAATAAATATTATCTGCTCTCATATATTTTCAAATTTCAACATAAAAGAATAAATTGTTAAAACGAAAAAAATAAAAATAAAATTAGACTTTCATAGGATATAATATAAATTACTTATTTTTTATTACCAAAATTTTAAAGTAGATAATATCTATAAAAATAAGTTACGGTTCCGTCATTTGAACTAAAATTGTTATGGCTTATTGTTTATAAAATACAGTAACTACACTATTTAAGGAATAGTTTATATTTTGAGTTGAAAATAAATTTGATTTTTTATTTTAGGCCACAATTAAATTTTGTAATTCAATGCACGGTACATAATATTATTAAAATAAAAGTGTTAATAAATTATTATTAAGCCATTATTTTACTGAAAATAAATATTAAGTTTTAATATATATTTTTTGAGAATATAATTTGATAATTAAAATAGATAATATACAATGTTTTTGTGAATAAAAAGTTTAGGTGAATTAGATCAAAGTTCACTCAAGCGAAAATATGTTTTTGTATTAAAAAAAGCACTTATAAAAATATTGACAAACTTTATTGACAATAAAATCTTCATCTCAAAAGTAACATTTCGATCCATGATTTTGTGAGTTATCGACCAAATTCTTATTAACGAGAATATTTTTTGCTGGCAGGGAGTGGATAATTTTTAGAAAAATTGTTATGAAGATTTAAAAAAGCAATATAATTACTAAAAAATTTTGATGACAACATAAAAGTTTGTAATGATAAGTTTCAAGATAGAAAATAATAATTATTTAATTATTATTGAAATTTACTTATAATTATTTTTTTCTTAGAACTTAATTATAATTCTTCCTAATTTTTATCTCTCTCAAAATGATGGTGAAAGGATCCAGTAGTTGATTCCCAACCCCACAAACAAATAATTCAACTTAATCTATTTCGGGATCATGGGCTTAGTGGAAGCAAAAGGATCATGTGACCAAGCGTGGAGCGGAACAAGCCGCCATATGGAATTGGGCTTGCAAATCAATAGGAGGAAAAGGCGTGGCCCATTTGTGTTATCTGCAAACAACAATGGATCCTTACAGTACCAAATAACTGAGACAGCAACATGTATAATCCAATCCATTATACGAAAAGCTTTCACATAACCAACGGGGATTGAGTCTAGTAATAGAAATTAGACCCTCACAACATGACGAATCAATGTTCGAATACCCGCTGAGAGAGGTACCCGCATTTAGTGCCCAACAGTACTTCGAATAGGATTACCTCTAATAAAAAGATACTTATGCTTTAGCGGAAAAAAAAAGTTTTCACATACTTGTATTAAAAAAAAAAAAAGAAAAAAAAAGAAAAAGCTTTCACATACTTTGGATCATTAAATATACGCGTCCGCTTTTCAAGGGCAAGCATGTCTCTTCCGATAAATGTAGTCCAATGATCAAGGCAGTAGCTAAAACATTTTTATCAATTTCCTCAAAAACATAATTATCCAGAAAGTTAGAGAAATGATTCTTCCTGAATACATCATATAATGTAAGAAATGAAAGCCTAAAATGCACCCATTTCTCATTATGTGCAACGCTCGGTTCTTATTCGTATTTAAGTCTCTCGTAATAAAGTCAATATATCACCAGTACTCTGCATATATTTTACAATGTTATATGGATCTCTCGTCTTCTTTACTTAAAAATGTAGTTGTTTCTTTAGGATTATTCTTCACTGGAGGCGGTGAACAGAAATGATCATCAACATCATTTGTTGGCGAATCTTGCTCTTGCTCCTCTCCTTCAAGCATCTCTACATCTTTGCTCGGTGAAGGATGATTGCTTGGCTTGAACCCCCATATTGGACTTGAAAGATCACTATCATCCCTTGCTGGTAAATCTTGTGGATAACCATAAGGCTTTTGAGGCAATTCTAAGTCTTGCTCATCTCTCTCAAGCATCTCCACAACCTTGGTCATTGAAGGACGATCACTAGGCTTGGTCTGAATGCACCACAGCCCAACGATCATCATTTTCCTTGCCACTTTCATTTCTTCCTCTGTTGTATCTGCTATGTCGATTTCATTTCCTTCGTTTAGTTGATCATATACCCAAAAGGGAAAGTAAAATTGACTAGATTCTTCAGTCAATGCACTCAAATTCTTCCTTCTACCAGCAATTTCCATCAATAGCTTCCCAAAACTATAAACATCGGCTTTGCAAGAGACTCCTCCTGCATTTCTGTAGAATAGTTCAGGAGCCATGTATCCTATAGTTCCCCCACCTGTTGTAAGAGGCACAATGCTATTATTTGTAGGATAGAGTCCAGCAAGGCCAAAATCAGAGACTTTTGGGATGAAGTTGTCATCAAGAAGGATGTTGGGCGGCTTTATATCAAAATGCAGAATTTGCACATCACACCCTTTGTGAAGATATTCAATACCACGAGCTACTCCAAGAGAAATGGCATACAATTGATGAAGATTCAAGGATTGATCATAATGATTAGGTTTAGACAGAATGTATTTGTCGAGAGATCCATTTTTCATGAATTCATATATAATAGCATGATTTGATCCTTCCACACAATAACCTATGAGTTGCACCACATTAACATGGTGGATTCTACCAACGGTAGCAACTTCGTTTATGAAATCCTGACCATTGGCTTTGGCATTATTCAACATCTTGACAGCCACGTCACGACCACTTCGAAGTTGTCCTTTGAAAACGGAGCCATAGCCTCCCTTCCCAAGTCTTACTTTAAACCCATTTGTCATCTTCTTGAGGTCATTGTAGGAGTACCTTATAGGGATGATGTTGTTCTCACTTTGCAGAAAATCTTCAATGTTGTCAAACACTGATAAATGTCTTCGTCGCCATTTATAGATCAACAGGCCAAGGAGAAATGGAGTCGCCAAAACAAATTTAGCTCCAATATAAGCTGTTAATGAAAATTTAAAAGAGAACATAGATAATTAGAACGTGTCCTTCGACTGAAACTCGTTTGCGCAGTCATTGCACTGTCTACTGCTCTTGCATTTGTAAAAATTGGATAATTAAGTTTGTTAAAGTCAAGAGATACCTAACACAGACAGAGCGAAGTATATCCTATAGTCTGCAAAACAAGATGAAAAAGTTGGTATTAGTTTCTCTTGCCAAAGGTCACTATGATTAAGGTGAGTTAGTGCCACATAGTAGGTTTGTCAAGTTTTATTAGTATGAATGAGTTCTTAGGACTAGCTATTCCTTCATAATAACTAGTAAACAACTATATATATATATCGTATAAGAAGAATAAAATAAAAACGACAACCAGTCAATAAAGATCATAGTAATTAAATGCATGGCACATAAAAATAATCTGTGAAGGGGGAAAAGTTGATATAGACAAATTTTTGACAGTATATTCATAAAATTATTTACATATATATATATAAGCAGTAGAAATTTTTGACTCTTTCTTTTTTTCTTTTTCGTGACATTTGTTGATACAGTGCAACTTGCAAGCATGTATCATTCAGGCTTAAACAAAAGCGTTAGAAGTTATCATGAGATGCCTTACTCAGGATGCTCCGAAGGATCATTTCAAAAATGCTATTCTCTGTTGCAATCACACCAGATAAACAAATGTATTAGTAAGGATATGTACTAGAATATTGTAAAATAACAAATTCAATAACAATAAAATGATATCCAAGGAAAAAAAACATATATTTCATATAACTAAGCAAAAGTTAAACGTACTATGGTTGTGAACTATTGATTATGCATAGCTAGGGTGCGAAGGTGCATATGCACAGTGCGTAGCGACTGATGAAACTAAAAGATCAAATATAGAAAAAAAATATAAAAAGCTCCAGTTTTGTAGAGTATATATGTATTGACAAATGGAATTAAATCGATTAATGGACTTACCCGAGTGACTTTTGAGCCAAGAAAGTTCAAAGCCATAAAGAAGCATATTGTGGATGTCCGTGCAGGACCAAGACTGGTTGTTCTTCAGAGCAGGCCACGATGTCATATACATCATTTCTATACGGCAATTGTCATCTAACGCCGCATACGCTACAATTCCCATCCCAACACAGGCATACAAATTCGATGAAGAAGAAGAAGAAGAAGCTACAGAGCCATTTGAAGTTTTGAAGCAAGGCGCTGTGTCCACAAAGCCAGGGGAATCTAGAGGGTGTTCACAACTTACGTATATCATCATCATACTTGTGTACAATTCATACCACAACAAATCTCCATTTTTGTTGGGTCCATCAATGGTGGAGGTATATGGATATGATTTGCTAAAGTTGTAGTCTGTCAAAGAATACTCAGGGAGGGAAGAGGAATCGAACTCCACAATATTAGCATCCCTTAATCGGATTGTGTAGTTCTCATAATCAATGGACAAAACACTGTATCTCCCAGATTGCCAGTACATTACCAGTTGGTTTTGCTCGCAAGAAAGGTTGTACCTTTGATCACCACACTGCTCTGGAGAGTCTTTTAGCCGAAAAGGGCTCCTAATGTTGTGATCTCCACACAGACTAGAACAGGTCTGCTGTCCATCTGATGCGTTGCAAGTTCTGCATAATGCCATAATCAGAAACAGAGCTACTGGTAATTGTGTTGATGAGGAAAACATGTCCCTTATCATGAAGATCCCAAAATGAAGAGTAATTAGTAATCTCAACTCCTGAAAGACATATAAAAGTCCTTCCAAACATGTATTTCGTATAATCAAGAATTTGCCTAGAAAATCTTCCTTTTGACCGTTTGGCTGCACTATAAAAAATTAACAAACGTGTGTGTATTGACACCACATGTTTCTTATCATCGAGAGGTTTCTAGAAATTCTTTTGAAGTTGACGCTTAACACCTTGACAGGGCTACCAATACTTCACAAAAGTGAGAGTTTATTGACGTGAGCAGGTACATTATGAAGGACACGCTTGAAAGACATACTCTTTTGGAAAAATCTCTTGGTTTTGTATATGAGATGAGATTAGGAACTTACTATCTCATCTTGCTACTTGGGGAAGGCCAGGACATGGAAACTTCACTTATAAACTCCTTCTTCTCTGTATGCTTGTTGCTAACTCTTAGGTTTTCAGAGTCTGTAGGAAGCTGGAATAGCTGTCCAGAACCTGAAACAACATGCGGAAACCTTCCTGTTCGGTTTCCTTTCCGAGTAATAGGACGCCAACCAGCACAGTGCGGCTATCCTGGGTTTGATTTACAATGTTCTTCTGCCAATCACGCTATTCTTGAGCTTCCTGGATCAGTCCATTTCAATGTCAAACATATTGATTACAAATTTCAAACCATTCAACTATATGCTTCTGGTTGCCTTTCAAGGCATTTACGTAACTTCACTCTTCTTCCTTCCCCTTTCAAGTTCACCGACCGGAATCTTGCTGACTTTACAATTTTCAATTGCTCGTCACCAAGAGATGGAGCACTTATTTCAACTTGCCTCAGTAGCTCTACTTACCAAGTATATGCCGTTTCATCCTATAGTCTGATTCGTGGACTTCCCTTGTTATTTTGCAGCAAAATATTTAACATTTCATTTGTTCCGCCTGAAATTTTTAATGTTGAGAACACTCTTCATTTGATGTGGTCTAATCCATTGTGCAAACATTGTGAATCAAATGGAGCAATATGTGGATTCAACAATGGTAATAGAGGCAATGATACTACATGTTTCAAGGATCCTCACCGTGGTAATATGAAACTCTTGCCTCAAAACTTGCTTTACTTTTTGCATATATCTATATGGCAAATCATTTAGATAAACCGAACATAGCATTTGTCCGTGAATATAGGTATCAGTTCTAATACACGTAGAAAATAACATGAACGTATATATTCATTTCTTGTCTCTTGCAAATACCAGTGTTCTTTAAGAGATAAGGCATGGCTTCTTTGAAATGCTTATATCAGTATGCTTATCTGACCAATCATGTTAATTTCTTTTGCAGGTTCATCAAACAAATTTGTAATTACAGGTTAACTTCCCAAATGAACTATGTATATTCTGCTGAAGGTAAATCATACTTTTTGAGACTAAATATCCGAGTTATCATATGTGTAGGATCAATCATGGGTTCACTTCTATTGGTGATTATTTTAGTTGCAATTCTTTATATCCGCAACTCTTACAAATCACGGAAAGAAAACCAAGCCATAATTGAGAAGTTTTTGAAAGATTATAGAGCTCTCAAGCCCACAAGATATTCTTATGCTGAAATCAAGAGGATTACCAATAAATTTGAAGTCAAGTTAGGGGAAGGACCTTACGGTAGTGTGTTCAAAGGAAACATTTCATCTGATTTCAAAGTTGCAGTGAAGATTCTCAATAATTCGAAAGGCAATGGTGAAGAGTTCATCACTGAAGTTGGAACAATGGGCAAAATCCATCATGTCAACATTATTCGCTTAATGGGCTTCTGTGCTGACGGCTTTAGAAGAGCGTTGGTTTATGAATACTTTCCATATGGTTCATTACAAAATTTCATAAATTCATCAGATAATAGGCAAAACTTTATTGGTTGGAAAAAGCTCCATGGTATAGCTTTAGGTATAGCCAAAGGAATTGAGTACCTTCATCAAGGGTGTAAGCAACGCATACTTCATTTTGACATCAAACCTGGTAATGTTTTATTGGATGATGACTTCACTCCAAAAATATGTGATTCCGGGTTGGTCAAGTTGTGCTTCAAAGGTCGAAGTATAGTGTCAATGACTCATGTTAGAGGAGCATTGGGTTACATAGCTCTAGAAGTTTTCTCACGAAATTTTGGAAATGTGTCTCATAAAGTAGATGTTTATAGTTTTGGGATGTTGCTGCTTGAATTAACAGGGGGAAGAAGGATCACCCATGACACAAAAGAAAATGCTCCCCACATTTACTATCCCAAATGGATCTATAATATTTTAGAAGAAAGGGAGGATGTAAGGATTCATATTGAGGAAGAAGGTGATGCTAAAATTGCAGAAAAGTTGGGAATAGTGGGATTGTGGTGCACTCAGTGGCATCCTGTGGATCGACCATCAATGCAAGTAGTGGTTCAAATGTTAGAAAGAGAAGGAGATAAATTACCAATACCTCCGAATCCTTTTAATGTTGAAGGCATGTCAACAAGAAAAAGGGCCAGCGTGCCCACAAGAAGTCAGATGCAAGGATTAGAAATAATCCAAGAAGTAGATTGAGGACAGTCAATAATGATAAAATATTGACTGGTTTGGTACATTTGGAGGTTAGCCTTTTGTTGTGTGTTGTTCTGTCATTGTTTGCGTAAATGTTTGAGCCTACATGTTCTGTCAATGTTTATTCTCTTCATGAGTAATCTATGCCGTAATATTGGTATGATCAACTAAGGGGGAAAATATATCATTCATTCTTAATTAGCATGTTTTTCATCTATGAATACCAGATAAAGCTTTCATGCAGGTTTGCTGCAAAAGGTTTCTATAATGCACTTGAAGTATCAACATAAACATCAGTTCTCAATCAAATTCTCCTCCTTTAATTTGCATATTTTCCGATCACATAGGGATAAAGAAGTAGCAACATATATAGAGAACAATATAAGGAGGATACAATTCCCGTTGACATTCCATACATATATGAATACATACACACACCTGCTTGTTTTTAGTACCTGAAGTATGTGTTTAATAAAAATTAAGGACACAAACTAGAAACGTTTGGGTATCAGACTTAGGTTCAAAATATATTAGCTCTGTAGCAGAGCATAGGAAATTAAATTGATATTTTCTCTGATCCTAAATATAAAAGTTAGTTTACAAATTTGGAGATATTAAAAAAATTAATAAAGTTGGTTATTTGTTACAAATATATATTAGTCTCCCTAAACTATGGTTTTCAATGTGTATTAGATGGTTGGAATTATTCCTTAGTGAGAGCCTTTACAATTAATAGAGATATTTTGGAAAAAGATAAGAGACTAAGTGAATTGAATTCTTATATGTAGGATTAAATTCAACTCTTAATTAGCTCTTATATTAAGGACTAAGATTTTTTTCATTTACGGGGAAAAGGAAGAAAACGTATAGGTGAGTTAGATTTTGAGAATTGTGAGTCTGAGGCAAATCAAAAGACTCAGGATGTGTTTTTACAAAAATATATAAATTGTTCATCAATATTGAAGTGCCAAATTAAACTGAATGAAGAATAATTGAAGCTTCCGAGAAAGTTTCCAAGACAATGAGATTAGATACGAATTTCGAAGATGCGGTTGCTACGGCTTACACGTGGTCAACCAAAGGAACATCCTTATCTTCCATCCATGGTTCCACCGATATCAATTATTTTTAACTTGGTCATCACTATTTATAGCTATGACTAAAGCCAAAGGCTAAGCGTGTATGGCTAAGCCAAGAAACCCTCAGTAGGCCTTGATTTCTTGATCGGACCAATAGAGACTTAGTCTAGCTATGACCAGAGGCTTATTACAAATGAAAACAGTTTACTTCAGACTTTGATGAGTTTCCAGGAAACTGAGACACAGTCAGAAAAATTCAATAACGTGCCTGCAAGGGTGGAAATTTGTGAGTATGAAAGCAGACCCCTCCCCAACCACTTGTCTCGCATTAGATATTTTAGACTTTGACATGTCTTTACCACAAAAATGTATTTATGAATGAAAAGCTTGTCTATCCAACTTGAATAATTTTCAACCCATTTTTATGGCGCAAATTCTATAAATGACTTATCAGAATCAATATTCAGGAAACTGAGACACACTCAGAAAAATTCAATAACGTGCCTGCAAGGGTGGAAAATTGTGAGTATGAAAGCAGACCCTTCACCCAACCACTTGTCTAGCATTAAATATTTTAGACTTTGACATGTCTTTCCCACAAAAATGTATTTATGAATGAAAAGCTTGTCTATCCAACTTGAATAATTTTCAACCCATTTTTATGGCGCAAATTCTATAAATGACTTATCAGAATCAATATTGCTTTTTCAATAAATAAGTAAATGAAGAAGTCACGTAGTTGTACATATTTAATAAGTTCGTGATTTGAACACTAAGCACTCATAAAAATGTTTTATTCTTATCAATGATTTCTTTTCTCAAACGGAAAATCAAGCCCTGAAACTCTACTGCAGAATTGAAGCTACCACATCAATTTGACTGTATTAGTTTAGGGTGGAAAAAAGGGGTCATAATTGAAGCTACAAATCTCAAAGTAGAATGATTCGATTCCAAATTTATATTTGAACTACATATTCAATGGTCCAAATAAATAATAAGTTTCTTGGTAAAAAAAAAACAATAAGTTTGAATATATTTTTTGGAGAATAAACTTTCATAATTAAAATAGATACAGGCACGTACAGGATTGGTCCTAATATGTCCAGGCACGTCCTCACAATTTTTACTGTAAGACTTATTTAACTAATTTGATTAGATTAAGAAAGGTAGTTAGGTAAGTTAATTATAAGAAATATTGCATGTTTTTCTTAAAATGTCATAATCATCTTTCTTAATATCCTCTCTCCTTCTTCTATTTGATTATGGTTGAGAGGTTATCAATAGGATAATTTAAAAAAATTTATAAATATAAAAAATAGGTCTTATTAGAGCCAAGCTCAAATCAATAATTAGTTCATACATCAAAGATCATAAGAATATAAAATTTTTTTGTAAACAAAAGTTTAGACAAGTAGGATTTCGACGTTTCAATAATGTCAAGGCATTTTTTTGGGCTTACAAAGCACTTATAGAAATTTTTATAGATGATTTATCAACCAAGTCTGATTCTTACATGAAAATGCACCCATGACTTTGTGAGTTACTACCTCCTAGCTTTTGTACTCTTTCGTTACTTAATATACAACCTAATTGGAGAGTTGATATTATTCTATATATAAGATATATTTAATATACTTATCAATTCTTTCTTAAATTAACCTTATTAATATTTTTATAATAATTATTAAGTAGGAGAGGAAGGAAGAAAATTAAGAAAGATGCTTAAGTTGTTTTTAAAAAAATCACACTAACTAATTTAACCAATATCCCTAATCTACTCAAATTAATTAATTAGATTCATATATTAAGGACAGGATAAGTATAAGATTTAATTTCTAGTTCAATAATGATCGAATGTAATATTAAATTATAGAAAAAAACTTTGATCAAGTTTTTAAGACAGATAGTCATATATGATTGAAAGATTTGATATAATAAATATGATAAACTTACATAAGTATTGTTCTAAACTAAATTCTTATTCGCAAGAAGAGTTTTTGTTGCCTGGGTAGACAGTATATAATTTTCACGTCTTTAAAGAAAAGGACCTAGTGATTCGGACCTTTGGTTCATTCCCACTCAATCTATTTCGGTATAATGGGCTTGGGGGAAGTAAAAGCAATGCAAACCATGACAAAATTTCTTTTTTTTTTTTTTTAGCTAAAGTATAAGTATCTTCTTATTGGAGGCAATCCTATTTGAGACACTATCCGGTACTAAATGTGGATACTTCTCCCGATAGGGATTCGAACCTTGATTCGTCACGTTATGAGAAACTAGCCCCTTCCGCTAGACCCAATCCCATTGGTCAAACCATGACAAAACTATTTTCAATACAAGTCATCTGCTATGAAGCGGGAAACAAGCCGCTACATGGGAATTGGGCTTGCCAAACAATAAGAGCAAGAAACGTGACCTATTTGTTTGATCAACTACACAAATTTTCTAATAAAAGGATACCTAAACATAATTAAAAAAATCATTTACCCGTGTTATATAATTTTGTGTTATATTAGGCCATTTATATCTTACTTTTTCAATAGCAAAAATTACAAAAAAATCATAAAAATTACAAAATCGTAAATTAGGATTCATTATAAGATTTGTATAGGTTTTTATACTTTGACAAAATACTTTATTTGTAATTTTTCAATCTTCATAATTTTTTTTTGTTGCAATTTTCCCTTTTTAATATACAGAATCTATTAGCCAACTGTCTCAAAAAAGACAGTAATTGCGCACACAAAAATAGAGGACACTTTCACCAATCCCTTTAATAGATATATGCAGCATTTCATGAATTCATCGTATAGTAATTAAACACATGATCGGATAGAAAAATCCTCAAGAAAGGGCTTCACTCATTGCTCAGCAAGTATAATATTTTCATCAAGATAAGTATGGATTGTGCATGGTCATTTTTTACTTCCAACGTTATTTTGGTCATCCACCATTCAACGCTAAAAATATTACTCCACTTAGTCAAAAATATAAGACTCATTATTTAGGACAGGAGGAGTAGTATATAATCAATCGAAATTATATCTCAAACTAATGTTGCCAGAATCAAATTGAATAAGAAACCAGTTATATATATATAAATATAAATATTGCCTTCGCTAATTAATATAAGCCTCAATTGACTAATTTGAAAAAATTAAAAAAATGACTGAATAACTTAATTGTAGTAATTACATAATCTTTCTGAAATACTTATGTGTATTAAGAAAATGACTGAAAAATTAAGAAAAATTAATTTTGAAAAACACAATAAATATAGATATTTTAAAGTAATTTAGTAACTTTTTTGATCTTCTCAGATTAGTTAACTGAATCTTATATTAAGAACTAAAGTAGTGTGTTCGTGTGTGTATATGATTCAGAACAATTAAAAACCGGCTAAAAGTGAATTTGGGAAGAATTAGTCAAAATTATTTTTTAGTTTTTATTTTTAATTTCACAAGTTATGTTACTTTTTGGCTTTTATTTGTCTTTGGGTTAGGTTTTTTAAGTGTATATTTGATGATGATTCATTGGTGGTTTTAGTTTATCATGAAAGCATGTGCCGATTTGATCGGACAATTAACTGGTTATATATGATGATTTTTTTGGTGATTTCTAATTGACAATAAATATTATTATTTTCATGTTGACATGATTGACCCTAAATTTGTCATGTATAGTAAGAATATTAATAAATAATATCTAAGATATCTCTTTATTTTTATACATATTCTTGAAAGTATATCAGTTTATTTATCGTTCAACTATTAAATCTTGAACTGTCCGATTATGAAAACATTGTCTCATCAGATGGACAAAAGTACAATGTTATTAGCAACCGTCGAAGGGACAAAAAGTCCCCATTACATCAAAATTCGTCTGAGAAAATTCTGAACATATAATAAGATGTTAGTCTTGGCATAATGCTGCTACACGTACTAGCCATTTAGGAGGGTTGCAGGGGCAAAGATCACGAGAGGAGAAAGCTAGACAAGAGGTTAGAATTCATATTGACGCGAAGAGAAGATTCTAAAATTGCCAAATGAAAATAGAGAACTAGGAAAAGTATTACTTAAGTGCATCCAAAGTTATGCTATATATAGATCAACTATCATTCTGTATCAATGGAAGCTTGTGGTTCAAATCCTTTTGCTTCTTTATAAAAAGTGTATGTGTTATCTACCAGGAAAGACGGATCCTGACACTACCAAATAACTGAGAGGGCAAAATATATACCATTATATGAAAAGCTTTCACATACTTTGGATCATTAAATATGTGTCCCCTATTCGAGCATGTCTCTTCTGATAAATGTAGTCCTAGGACCAAGGCAGTAGGTAAAACATTTTTATCAATTTCCTCAAAAACATAACTATCCAGAAAGACATGATGCTTCTTCCTTACTGTATCACATGATATGAGAAATGGAAGCCTAACATGCATCCATTTCTCAGGTCGATACAACCCCCACTTCTTATTCATATTTAAGAGTATCTCGTAATAAAAATATATATATCAAGGTCATTAGTACTCAACATACATATGTACAATGCTATATTGATCTCTCATCATCTTTAGCTAAAAATGAGGTTGTCTCTTTAGGATTATTCACTGAAGGATCAGAGGATTTAGGCGTTGAACGTAAATGAGCACTAACATCAATTGTTGGTGAATCTTGTGCATATAGAAAAGACTGCTGAGGCAATACTGACTCTTGCTCCCCTGCTTCAAGAGCCTTTTCCATCGAAGGATGATTGCTTGATGAGTTGGATCGTCGTGTTGAATATGCAATATCATCCCTTACTGGTAACTCTTCTGGATATAGATAAGGCTTTTGAGGCAATTCCAAGTCTTGCTCGTCTCCCTCAAGCATCTCCATAACTCTGTTCATTGAAGGACGGTCGCTAGGCTTGGTTTGAATGCACCACAACCCAACGATCAGCATTTTCCTTGCCACTTTCATTTCTTCCTCTGTTGCATCTGCTATGGTAATTTCATTCCCTTCATTTAACTGATCATGAGCCCAAAAAGGAAAATAAAATTGACTTGATTTCTCAGCCAACGCATTCAGATTCTTCCTTCTACCAGCCATCTCCATTAATAACATCCCAAAGCTATACACATCAGCTTTATAGGAGACTCCACCTACATTTTGGTAGAAGAGCTCAGGAGCCATGTATCCTATGGTTCCTCTTGCTGCTGTAAGAGACACAATACTATCATTTGTAGGATAGAGTTTAGCAAGCCCAAAATCAGAAACCTTTGGGGTGAAGTTGTCATCAAGAAGGATGTTGTGCGGCTTTATATCAAAATGCAGAATTTGCATATCACACCCGTTGTGAAGATATTCAATACCACGAGCTACTCCTAGAGAAATGGCATACAATTGATGAAGATTCAAGGATTGCTCATTGTGATTAGGTTTACAGAGAATGTATTTGTCAAGAGACCCATTCTTCATGAACTCATACACAAGAGCACGCTTTGATCCTTCCACACAATAACCAATGAGTTGCACAACATTAACATGGTGGATTCTACCAAGTGTTGCAACCTCGTTGATGAAATCCTGACCATTGGCTTCAGCCTTATCCAACATCTTGACAGCTACATCACGACGACTTCGAAGTTGTCCTTTGAAAACAGAGCCATAGCCTCCTTTCCCAAGTCTTATTTTAAACCCTTTTGTCATCTTTTTGATTTTTCTATAGGAGTACCTTATAGGGATGATGTTGTTGTCGCTTTGCAGAAAATCTTCAATGCTTTCATACATAGATAAATGCCTTCGTCGCCATTTATAGATCAGAAGGGCAACGAAAAATGGAGCCCCCAACACAAATTTGGCCCCCGCATAAAGAGCTGTCAATGAAAATTTAAAATAGAAGATAAATAATTAGAATGTGCCTTTTAACTGCAACTAGTATTGAATTTCTATTGTTTGGTCACCCATTGAACTGTCTACTCTTGTACTCTTAAAATTTGGATTAGTTTGTTTTAAGTCAAGGGATACCTAACACGAATAGGGTGTTCGTCCACTGCAACAAGTCTGCAAAACAGAGGAGACAAAAATTGATATCAGTTTCTCTTGTGAGAAAGCACTGTGGTAGATGTGAAAATACTTAGTGCCACATCGGATAGGATGTCGTTATATTAGTATGGTGGTGGGTTCTTGGCACTAGCTATTACTTCACAACCTATATATGCACAATTATTTATACATCGTATCAGAAAAATAAAATAAATATACACTATCATCATAAAGATTATAGTAATTGAATGAATAGCTAGTAAAAAAATCATTTGTAAACGGGAAAAAGATTGCGGGACAAATTTTTGACAGTAAGTTCATAAAAATTTACATACAAACAGTAGAAATGGAGCCCCCAAGACAAATTTACCTCCAGCATAAATAGCTGTAGATGAAAATTCAAGAGAGAACATAGGTAATTAATTAGAATGTGCCTTTCGACGGAAACTAGTATAGGTTGGAATTTCTATTGTTTGGTCAGTCATTGCACTGTCTACTCTTCTACTCTTAAAAATTAGATAAGTTTGTTAAAGTCAAGGGATACCGAACGTTATCATAGCGTAGAGGTATGAGTAGAGGTATGACCAAATGTCTGCAAAACAGAGAAAACAAAAAGTGATATCAGTTCCTCTTGCGAGAAAGTACCATGATTAATGTGAATATAGCTTGTGCATCAGCATAGTATTAGCCTATTAGGAGAAGGGCTTATGTATAAATTTCGCACCGAAAGTTATTCAAAACTAATATTGACTATTAAAGTATTAATATTTACCATTAACATTTTTAATGATAAGAAACAATATTGCTTCATTTTAATACTTATAGGAAACTTTGAACGCGAAAAACCTATGGGACACTACTATTGTTCCTGAATGAAAACTTTCGAAACGCATTTATACCTTAACCCTAAGGAGGAAGTACAAACTACATTTATAATGTATAACTGCAAAATAACCAATATTAATTTATTATTTATAGATATATTTGTTGAATAATTTTTTTAAATCTTAATTATTGGAGGTAATTAATTATTTGTCTCATCCTAGCCACATGATACCTCAATGCCACATTAAATTCCGATTAATCAAGTTGAGCTGAGAAGGACCAGAACAAACACCTCTAACTGAGCTTCACACTCATTGCTACTTAGAATAATGAAGCAAAATAGTGAGAGTCAATCTTAAGTGGTAGGTGCAATTAGTGGTATTTACGGGACGGGACGAGACCGGGACTGTGATGAAGTTGTTACATTAGTATGAAAGTGAGCTCTTGACACTAGCTATTCCTTCGCAAGCTATAAACAATTATTTATGTACCGTATAAGAAACGTAAAATAAAAATACACTATCATTCAATAAAGATTATATTAAAATGAACTAATAAGATGTTGGTTGAGATAGCAAATATCTCATCCTTGTAAGAACAAGGTTACAAGTTCGAATCTCATGAAGCATATTTGTTGAGAGGCTTTAACTTTAATACCCCCAATTCGATAAAGAGTCAAATCTAAAATAATTTGGAGAGACTCTGAGTTTACGCAAAATATAGTAAAATGAATAGCTCATGAAAGTAATCTCTGAAGGGGAAAAGGGTTGATGTAGGACAAATTTGAAAGTAAATTCATAAAAAAAATTTATATTTAAGCAGTAGAAATTTATGACTTTTTTCAAAGAGATTAATTCTTTGATCCAGCGCAATTTCCATGCATGGAACCAAAAACGTTATGGGTTATCATGAGATGCTTACATGCGATAGGCCAACAGATCCGTTCAAATTTGCTCCATCCTACTGATGTTACACCAGATACACGAATGCATTAGTAGGGGTATGTGGTAGAATATTGTAAAATAAAAAAAATTCACTCACAATAAAATGATATCCAAGGTAAACAAAAAGAAAAAAAAGTTATATATTCCTCATAACTAAGAAAATATTAAATGTATGATGGCCGTCACATAGAGGTGATACACTGATACGTATTTAGTTGACATATCACAGATGATTTGTCTTAGAAATTAAGAAAAATAATTGACAAAAAATAAATAAAAGAAGGAGAATACTAGAGAATAACATGAGTTTTCGGTGGACAGTCAAGTGCCAGCGTGCTAATCATTATATCCTTGTGATCGAGGATCACTTTTTCTCCTACACAATGAAAAACTATGATGGGTCGAGCAATTACGGTGGGGAATAGATTAACGCGATATAATTATAAAAAATATAGATAAATAGTTGAAAGTATAAAAATTAGAGTGACGTCTTTATATAAAGAAAAAAAAAAGTTTAGGAGATAAACAAAAAACATCAATTTTTTTTTTTCTGGAAAAAAGTATGGTTCTTTTGATAAGTTGTACTTTGGGTTTTTGTTTTTTGGTTTTGCTGTGTGATGGGTTGTATCTCTAGGTTTTATTTGAATGGGTTTTTTTCCTGGCTGGCTATTGGTGTTTGTAATTAATTTTTTTTTGGCTTTGCATTATTTTTTTAATTTCCATAATGGCCAAGCATTCAGAAATAACAATTATGGAGAAGATCACAAAAGTCATAATTGAATCCCCCCCCCCCCCCCCCAAAAAAAAAAACCTGCTCTATCCCGTGTTACAAGGAATGGCCCTGGCGCTGTGTGTGTTTTTTTTTTTTTTTTTTTTGGGGGAGGGGGGGGACCAAATATTTTCTACTAAAAGCTAAGAAACCATTCCATCTCTATAATGGAGGACAATGGAAGTATGGTAAAGTCAAAATTGTCCCTCATATAGTCATATATGAGTATAGCCAAAATATAATGAATTTTTTAACATGTCAATAAACTTTTTTTTATTTATACTTTTTTGGTTATTTACGTTTTATTTTCTCATCTTCATTTATATTTTTTTATATTTATTTTTATTATATCTGTCATCATTTTCATTTCTACATCTATTATTTCGATTTTATTCAGAATTCATATTTTTTTAATTTATTTTGTTTTAATTAGTTTTGATATAATATTGCATTTTGATGTATATGTATATTGGGAGCCTTTTTGAAAGTAAATAATATTTTATCAAGAGCAACTTAGTCAATTACCATTATATCTTTTTCATCTTTTTCATATTTTATAATAAAAAAACATACAATAATACAAAATATCACTACTTTCTAGTTTGTAATTAAATATGAACTACAAATTAAATGTTATATTAAAGACAGGAGGGCTACTATCTTTCTTAAAATATATGAAATGAGGTATTAGTAATCTCATTTCCATTTCTTTATAATCCATTCCAATGTACTCCTAAGTCCTACCAAATACAAGGTAAAGTCATCGTGATTCTTGAGGTTAGTGGTGGAGGAGGACTTATATTAAATGTTAACTGAATATTATGACCAAAATTTACTAAAAAAAACTATTGAACCAAAATTTTTAATATATCTTTTTATCGTTTAATCATCTTCATTTTATTCTTGCATTGTTTTTATCTAATAAATACAAAAGTAAAATTGAATATAATTCTTTTTCATTGAATGTAAAGAAAGTTACTCGATTAGTCAACATGCATTTTCATTCTTTTTTTTCCTCTTATTTTTGTACACACTTTGATTTCATTTTTCTTTTTGGCCAACACATCTTGATTTCAATCAGAGTTATTTCATGTGCAACAATCTAAAACTTACGCACAAACCTGGACTGCGAGAATATAGGTAGAAACTAATTTTCGGCCAAAAAAAAAATATGGGTAAAAGCTAGGGTTGAATTATAATAATTAATTATTATATTGAAGGATTTTTCAATTATAAATTTTTTTCTTGTAGGCATAGAAAAGAAACGACACAAATTAATTAGTTCGTATTTTAACAAGTAAAATATAATAATTGAAATCCTTAGATATTTTTATCCTAAAAAATGGAATTACATGTATATATAGGATGTTAACAATATGATTGACTTGTTTCAAGGAATTCCAAATGCAAGGGACGAGTAAGGATAGAGAGTGCATGAATCAAAGGTAAGAAAAAAACGAAGAAATGAGCCCCAGTTATATGTCGAGCATATGCGTATTGACATATGGAATTAAATCGACTAACATAATGGACTTACCTGACTTACAAACTGGTTTCGTATTTCCTTGATGGAAGCGCAAGACTGCGTATTCTCCATCATTGGGGCAGAAACTGTTGGACCAAGTAAGTTCAAAGCCATAAAGAAGCATATTGTGGATGTCTGTGCAGGACCAAGACTGGTTGTTCTTTGGAGCAGGCGCCGACGTCATATATATAAGTTCTACGCCACAATCATCGTCCAACCCCAAGTCACTGAGAGTTTCGCTGCCAACATTCACGTACGAATATGGAGAAGAAGAAGCTACAGAGCCATTTGAATTTTTGAAGCAAGGAGATATGTCCACAAACCGAGGGGAATCCACAGGTTGTTCACACCTTACGTATATCATATATTTCTTCAATTCATGCCATGTCACATGCCCATCTTCAGACTCCTCATCAAAGCCGGTGCTACATAGACCATGATAGCTAAAGTTGTAATCTGTTAAAGAATACTCAGGAAGGGAAGAGGAATCCAACTCCAGAATATTAGCATCCCTCACTCGGATTGTGTAGTTCTCATAATTAATGGACACAACACTGTATCTCCCAGATTGCCAGCACATTACCAATTGGTTGTGCTCGCAAGATAGGTTGTACTTGTGGTCACCACACTGCTCTGGAGACTCTCTTAGCCGAAAAGGACTGATAACATCGTGATCTCCGCATAAACTAGAGCAGTTCTTGTGTCCATCGAATGCCTCGCAAGTTCTGCAAAATAACATCATCATGAGCAAAGCGACCAGAAATTTTCCTAAAGAGGAACACATGTCCGTTATCATGATCTCAAAATGAAGAGTAATTAGTAGTTTCAACTTCGGAAAGACGTATAAGAGTCCTTCCACCGATGTATTTAGCATAATCAAGAAGCTGCCTAGAAGTTTTTCTTATGACACTGACAGCTTGTGTATTGACACCACATGTTTCTTATTATCCAGAAGTTGCCTAGAAATTATTCTGA